CCGCCGGCGAGCAGCTGCCCGGGCTGGGCAGGTCTCCGAGGTCCTTACCTATGAGGTGGGCAGCCGGAAGCCCGGGACTGGGATCGCTTTCTGCGTCCTGCTCCGGCAGCTCCGGGGGCCCTGGAAGGGGCGAGAGCCCAGGATTGGGGCAGGGCGGCCACCACGCCCGGTCCCCCTGAGAGGGCAGGGCGCCAGGGCCCAGGGATTCCCGGAGGAAGAGCAGAGTATCTGGGGCTGCAGATGGATGGGGCGAGGAGTCCCGGGGGCTGGAGCGGGAGGGGGACAGCCTGCTCTTACCCAGTCGCGGCTGGGCCCGTGCTTGCGCCCCGGGGTCAGTGGTCTCTGCTACCTGGACGGGGAGGAGGGTCACGGTGCCCAGAGTTCAGCCGTAGCTGATGCCAACCCCACCCCTGCCAATGGAGACCCAACCTCCCAGCCCAACACCCATCTCCCTGGAAGGGAGAGCAAGCCAGGCAGATACACTGGGCAGAGCGACAGGAGCCCGAGTATGTCTTGGGAAGAGGAAGAAGACAGACAGACAACCAGGAAGGGGCTTGGGGATATCAGGAGGCAACAGCATCACAGGAACATGGGAAAGAACCAACCAAGAGGCGACCAGACAGGCCAGCTGAGCAGGTGACACAGGGCCCCCCGGGCGTAGCAGAGGTGAGCGAGCATGAGCAACACCAAGCCCCCTGGGCACCGACTGCAGCCACTCACCAGCCCTTGCTTCTGGGGCGCCACCACCAGCACAGCCAGGACAGTGAGCGGCACAGCCAGCAGCAGGGTCACCAGGGAGGTGGTTCCTGCCACAGCCAGCAGGAGGCAGCCCTTCCCCTGGGGCCTCCTCCCCCAGCCCTCCAGCCCCAGTGCCCCCATGGAGACTGAGCCAGGGCCAGGGCAGGGGGGCTTTCATATCTCAGGGGTGGGGCCACCCCCTCCCCATAGACCCACACACCTGGCTGGGACTTTCCACACACCCCTGCTCCCCTCACCCAGCTTCCTGTTTACCCAGAGCTGGGGTGGGGCAGCTGGATGCCTGGGTTCCTTGAACTGGGGAAGGAGTGGAGGCGAGGAGGCAGGCTTTCAGGGTAGATCTGGAGGGTGTCTTAGCGAT